AAACTGCATGGACGGCATTAATTCTTCCACGAACGGTCCATAGTTCGTCTGCTCTGGTAGCCATCCGTCTAGGGTCAGCAATCGATTCCGTCAGTAGATGGGAACGAATATCTGCAGGGAGACGATCCATAAACAGGCCTAAGAAAAAGAAACCAGGTTTCTCATCTTCAGGGAGGAGTACTAACATTTTATCCATGCGTTCTGAGGGTCTTTGATCAGTCAGAACCGGGATACTCTGGAGAGCCTGATACCTCTGGAAATTACTGAGAGTGTACATCTGGATAAGGCGGGTTCTCAGGGTTGCATAGGGATCTGAAGTTGGATTACGGATCAGATCTATGAGACGAGTGGCAACGTCCTGGGGAAGGGTTGCAACACAGTGGTGAAACTTGGTTAGAGAGGTCGTCACACGCTTGATCGCAAACTGTGCCTCAGCCTGGAGGAACCACAACTCGGGGGAGTCCGTCCAGAAGGTGGGAAGCTTGATGGATACCGTGGTGAGGGATAACTGACCATCAGGGGGTGAAGATACCTCATTATTGGTCGACATCGCTACTACGCTTAAAAAGAACACTCTATCGTCGGAACCTTACTTTGGTGTTTGAGTATGAAAAGAGCAGGGACTCTGTAGAAACCAATTTTGGGCGCTTCAACAAGAGGATTTAATTCCGACAAAAGAATCACATCAGGGTCACCAAAATGTAGCGACGAAAGGAATAAGACCAAATGGATAAGACCAAATGAATAAGACCAAATAAACTGACTGAATATATATTTATCAAAAACAGTATTTATACTAGATGCAGTATATCATAATCTAAACAATAACATGTGAAGTATGGAATATGCTGTGTACTGCATTCCAGGGATCCAGGGGCGCCACAACTTCATCAATCATAATATGATAATTACACTAAATTCGATTATTCAGTATTCATTGTCCAATTCATAAGTTGTCTACACATTATGTTATTTAAAATTTTATAAAACTTTTTGCATATTTGAATTAACATTATCAAAGGCTTTTGAAAAAATTGTATTTTTTCATTTTTACAAAATAACTAGATTTTGCAAAACTAATTTGAATTTTTGTAAATCTACAAATTTTATGGAGATTTTAAAAATAGAGCATAAGAACTTTCCAATGATGTTTCATTTGTCATATTTGGACATCAAACATGGGATTTAGATGGGGAAAGGGATAAGGTTCACAAACAGAAACATCCTAAAAAATATTCAAATATTTGCATGAAAAACATGGAAATTATTGTCATTTATAAAAAAAGAAGATTTTTTTAGAAAAATTCTATCATGATGCTTTCAAATATTGAGTTAATATTTTTTAATGCATATATTTCAGGTAAATTAAAGCATGTTATATAAAATTACTAGCTTGAACAATTTGTGATA